GCAGAGGGACAAGTCGGTCGAAATTGCTAAGGCAGAAGGCGACCTCTTAAACACTTAAAACAACAACATCCCTTATTCGCCTTCGCCAGCGCGTCATCGACCAGTCTCCACTTGCTGTGGTTCTGCAGTAAGAGATCACCCCCCGAAAAAGCAAGGTAACAAGAGGCTGACTAATTCCCTCCTCTCCAAGATCCTGTTAGCTGTGTCTGAGGGGAACATTAAGATACATTCAGCCTGCAGGTGCAAGGCGTCGCCATCTTGTAGTGGGTGGTGATATGCACACGTACCCGAGCTCGTCGCGCCGCTAATGTAGCCAAGTGTCGGCAAGTACTTGTTGAAGGCAGCGCATATTACACAATTACCTATCACAGCTTACGGAAAGGGTAAAGTGTTCATATCGTTTAAATATGTCTTTCTTACGACCTTATTGCATTGCGTAAATGTGTTACGCCATGCAGACCGTAGGAGATCCGGGTACAATATTTAAGGCCTCGATAAAGTTTCAAAAGGTTTTACGGTAGACGTGTGGATGGCGCGTCCACATTCGACGCATCAGTGAGTGAGTGAGTTGGGTTTAACACCGCTTTTAACAGTATTCCAGTTATATCACGGTGTATTAGCTTAATGTGGGAGGAAAGCCCGAAGTGAAGCAGGTCTGAGACGTGTACCACTTCGGTGAAACCCACGAGCACGTATGGTGCTGACAAACCTAGAAACATAATCGGGGCGAACCGGGATTCGAACCCACAATCATAGGTTTCTGGCGTGTCCAAGGGACGCAACTCTGCACAGCGAATCGCGGCGCCTTAGACTAAACCCATGTTCATGATATAGTCGGAACAGTACAATGGATTTCGTATGGTTTTTTTGTTTTGTGTTTGTTGATTAACGCCTCCCAGCTACATGACGGCGGTCTGTAAATAATCGAGTATGGGCCAGGTAATCAGTGATTGACATCATCGACATCGATCCACGTATTTGGGATACGATGACATGCATCAACCGAGTCAACGAGCCTGACCACCGGATCCCGTTAGTCTTTCGACAAGCGTGGTCGCCTCTTACGACGAGCATTGGTTGTTGAAGATCTATTCTAACCCGGATCTTCACGGGTTATATTGATGGAAATGGTTTTGTCGTTGTTATTTTAATACCTTTTTAACCATGTGATCTCAAGCATGTGCTGTAAAGCCGAAGAAAACCTGGTTTTGCTGAAACACGTGCAGTTCAGTCGTTTTAACACCTTAATGTGCTGTTCAGAGCTGTGCCTTAACCCGACTCGCTCATTAGATTGCCGCTGTGAGCAAAATTCCCGCAATATCGCGGCGGAGGACACCAGAAATAGGCTTCATACATAGTACCCACGTGGGGACTCAAACCCGGGCCTTCGCATTGATGAGTGAACAAATTCATCATGATTTTAAATACGGTACATTCGACGGCTAGAACACATGTCCCCGTGTCATTGCCAAATGTTGCAGCAATAATGGATGCGACTGTATCGGGACTGCTGGGTTTGAATTGGCGTGCTGCAGGAATGTGTGAACTGACAAACGTCCTTGATTAATCTATCACATATCCCCACCCACATAAAGCCCGCTCACCACCCACACGCAGTTTCGCCCAGCATTGTTATTTCCATGTTACTTCAGGGGCGGTCGGGCAGCCTAGTGGTTAAAGCGTTCGCTCGTCACGCCGAAGACCCGGGTTCGATTCCCGACATGGGTACAATGTGTACATCCCATTTCTGATGTCCCCGCCGTTATATTGCAGGAATATTGCTAAAAATGGCGTAAAATCATACTCACTCACCCACGCACTCACTCCATGTTACTTCCGTGTCAAACTGTTGACAGTGTGACAATTGGTTTAAGATTTCCAAACAAATCGCATCTGTGTGACAATAATACTTTACTTTATACTTTTTTTTGCGTACCCCGTGGGGACTGCCTTCGTGGTCTAGTTGATAGAACGTCTTACCTGAGAGCCTCACGGTCGTTGGTTCGATCCCCGAGCCGCGTCATAAGAAATGAGGTAAAAAGTACAAGCAGCCACACACACACACGTGCATGCACGTTGCTTATATAGTGATGTAATCGTGACGTGAGCTTAAACTACATTTCACCCCACCATTTTGAGTGATCTTGACGTCCAAATTCATTGTCTCAGATCCAACGTGTTAAATTCTTCATTAATAATGTTTGATACTGACCTACATTATTATTCTATCAATAATCATCGTCATTATTCAGTCGTCACGCAGACAACAAGAGATAAAACGTCGCATTTTCCACTTCCATAAGTACTTGCATCTGGAATGAACCATTTCATACCCACATTGACTGTTTCTTGACATGTCTTGCACGTACATGGGCTAAACCACTGTTAGCATTCAGGTTTGTGTTTTAAGTAGCTTTGTCTATCACTTTTTATTATTTATAATAGTCGTCAATTTTTCCAGTTTCATGAAAGCATCCAATCAGTGTGACACAGGCATAAACAAAATGTTCTTCACAACTGTTAATCACATTGTCAACATACTCAGACCTATTGATGCTTGTTGGCTTTTGTTCATGAGTAAATATCATAAGAGGCAACTAACAGGATCGGGTGGTCAGGATCGCTGACTTGGTTGATGCATGTCATCGTCTCCCAAATACGTGGATCGATGCTCATGATGTCAATCACTGGAATGTCGTGGTCCAGACTTCATTATTTGCAGACTGCCGTCATATAGCTGGAATATTGCTGAGTGCGTCGTTAAACAACAAACAAACAAACAAACATGAGTACATATCAAACCTCAGATACATTATTAATTTTATTTTCCAGGGTCACATCAATCAACCGATTCGATTCGGTCGTTTGTTTCTGGTTTTCTGTTTATAAGCAGTTTTGTAAACTCTCAGCGACTGATCACATGGTGTACCACAATCCACGGCAGTTGCATCGCTCTTCTGTGTGTATCAATTGCATCATCAATATCAGTTGCATGTCGCGCAGAATCAACCTGCTGCTGTTCACCTGTCATGTATATTTCAACATGTGGGCGTGTTTATTTCAGCATGTCCGCATGGAGCCTGATACATACATGACACATCGGCAACACGTGTAACTGTTTTATCTTGTTGGTTTCTAATACCATCAAGTAGAGGCGTCCACTGTGTTTTGTATGTACACTGTTTACTTGGATACGGTGATTTAATACAAGAATCAGTTCGCCTAGATTATATGTTTGACTAACTCTAACTGCCGGGCAAAAGAAAGTTTACATTGAACATTCACACTTTACTCTGATTTACTGTGTATTGTGAATAATAGGTCAACTTTCAGTACCACGTTGATGTTCAAAGCACCATATTAGTTACATTTCGGTTTTGAACACTCAAAATTTATTTTATACCCTCTGGGAAATATACTTAAATGGCAATAGAATCGTGACCAACAATTCACGAAGAAATGAAGTGGCCTGGATGCTGACAGTTACAAACACACACACACACACACACACACACACACACACACACACACACACACACACACACACACACACACACTTCCCTCCGTTCGCGTTGCTCAGCTACATCTATGGGGAACAACTCACGAGACAATCCCCTCTCATACATAACGTCGTCCAATATACGTCAAAACGCTGACGTCATGAAAGAACAATGTTTTATCGCGAAATACACCACACTTCGTTCTTCATTGTTATTTGCGTTATATCTTATAGTTATTCATATATATTGTGTAGAGTGTCCAACAAGTTGACCATTTCTAAGCCCTTTTGCACAAATAAGGAACTGAGTTGATAAAATGGACACGAGAGGCGTATACGTACGAGTCGCCATTCGGTGGTGATCGTTCGGCTTGTCTCGGAATGAGACGAGTGGTCACGAATGAGGAAATCTGGCACTTTCCTCGCGGAAGTGTTGTTACATATTCTCCGGCCTTGAGGCTCACGGATAATAGTTATCAAAGAACTAGGGGCCACGTCTTCTAACTTAGTTGGGTACTGATGTTGACCTGCCCTTGATAGGTTTGCGATCCAGTTAGTGCTTTGTCAATGGTTTCAGTCGATGTGAAAAGTGAATTTGGACGAAAGATTTCTTGGGAAGATCGTATTAGAGGATTAATAGAATTGGATACTCTGCAATCGGGAATCGGTCGTGGAACGTTGTCAGTAACGCCTTTTACGTCATCGACTGAAATGATACCTCGACCATCATCATAACAACACATGTGATGCCAAGTGATTCTCATTTTGATTTGTTTGTTTGTTTGTTGTTTACCACCGCACTCAGCAATTGGGATACGATGACATGCATCACCCAAGTCAGCGAGCCTGACCACCCGATCACGTTAGTCGCCTCTTACGACAAGCATAGTCGCCTTTTACGACAAGCATGACTTGCTGAAGACCAATTCTACCCTGGATCTTTAATTTATGGGTAGGATACTCATTTTGATTTGAGCACTCTCATTTCATTATAATAAAATGTAAATACTACATCAAAATACCTTAAATAAGATAAATACACGGTTCTTTTTCGAAACACACCAGTTACGAAAAAAGATGATGCGATGTGAGGTGGTGTGAGATGAGGTTGGGTAGGTGAGGTGGTTTGGAGTGAGGTGACGTGAGGTAAGATACCATGTCGGAATTTAACATGATTAATCCTTGTTGTTCCCCCTCAATGGCGAGACCCAGGCAGGGTAACAACACGTCTCCTCCACAAGATGAGATAATCATGGTACCCGAGAGGTCAGGCTTCTACTTATCGAACGTTAATGTTCGATGGTAAGGGCAATGTTGTAGTCATGTAGTCAACAGTTGTTTGATGACGATTGCTGCACACATAGGTGACGTCACTGCTATCAGTCACATGTGATTGATAACGTAACTTATTGGTGGGTGATTTGGGCTACTTGAGTTAACACTGTTAACGGTGATATTGAACATATGTTAATCGAGTACGGTCAATCGGGAGAAAGCAGGAATGGTCAAACCGGGGGTGAAAGCGGGACCACTCAAACCGGGGGTGATAGCAGGAACAGTCAAACTGGGTGCGATGGCAGGAACAGTCAAACTGGGTGCGATGGCAGGAACAGTCAAACTGGGTGCGATAGCAGGAACAGTCAAACTGGGTGCGATGGCAGGAACAGTCAAACTGGGTGCGATAGCAGGAACAGTCAAACTGGGTGCGATGGCAGGAACAGTCAAACTGGGTGCGATGGCAGGAACAGTCAAACTGGGTGCGATAGCAGGAACAGTCAAACTGGGTGCGATGGCAGGAACAGTCAAACTGGGTGCGATGGCAGGAACAGTCAAACTGGGTGCGATGGCAGGAACAGTCAAACTGGGTGCGATAGCAGGAACAGTCAAACTGGGTGCGATGGCAGGAACAGTCAAACTGGGTGCGATGGCAGGAACAGTCAAACTGGGTGCGATGGCAGGAACAGTCAAACTGGGTGCGATGGCAGGAACAGTCAAACTGGGTGCGATGGCAGGAACAGTCAAACTGGGTGCGATGGCAGGAACAGTCAAACTGGGTGCGATAGCAGGAACAGTCAAACTGGGTGCGATGGCAGGAACAGTCAAACTGGGTGCGATGGCAGGAACAGTCAAACTGGGTGCGATGGCAGGAACAGTCAAACTGGTTGCGATGGCAGGAACAGTCAAACTGGGTGCGATAGCAGGAACAGTCAAACTGGGTGCGATGGCAGGAACAGTCAAACTGGGTGCGATGGCAGGAACAGTCAAACTGGGTGCGATAGCAGGAACAGTCAAACTGGGTGCGATGGCAGGAACAGTCAAACTGGTTGCGATGGCAGGAACAGTCAAACTGGGTGCGATGGCAGGAACAGTCAAACTGGTTGCGATAGCAGGAACAGTCAAACTGGGTGCGATGGCAGGAACAGTCAAACTGGGTGCGATAGCAGGAACAGTCAAACTGGGTGCGATGGCAGGAACAGTCAAACTGGGTGCGATGGCAGGAACAGTCAAACTGGGTGCGATAGCAGGAACAGTCAAACTGGGTGCGATGGCAGGAACAGTCAAAATGGGTGCGATAGCAGGAACAGTCAAACTGGGTGCGATAGCAGGAACAGTCAAACCGGGGATGATGGCAGGAACACTCAAATCGGGGGTGATAGCAGGAACAGTCAAACTGGGTGCGATAGCAGGGACAGTCAAACCGGGGATGATGGCAGGAACACTCAAATCGGGGGTGATAGCAGGAACAGTCAAACTGGGTGCGATAGCAGGGACAGTCAAACCGGTGATGATAGCAGGAACAGTCAAACCGGGGATGATAGCAGGAACAGTCAAACCGGGATGTGTGTGGGGGACGGGGTGACAGGTGATAGCGGGAAGCAAAGACGTAGGATTGTCTCATGCATCCTCAAAAATGGAACTGATATCAAGAAAAACATTAATTTCAGCCATCTTTCTCTATGCCCTTGGTACCTAACAAACGATAAACAACAATATGGATTGAGTGTTAATGAGCACTGCATCAAGCACATGCGCGAGAATAAGGAAAGTGACTGTATTCATCACGGATACCAAGAGAGGCTATCACACATTGAACCCATCTCGTGACACCAACATAGGTCTTAACGCTTTGACCACAAAGCGGGCGTAGGATAGCCCAGTGGGTAACGTGTCGACCAGTTTGCGACAGGTCCCTGATTCCATTCCCGCGTTCGGCACTTGGCGTTAGGCTCCGCCTGCGTGTTACTAAAAGATTAAAACGTACGTAAAACTACTACTCGCTTCTAAACTAAACTAAATTCCGTTCCTGCACTGCAGATCGTGATTAATCGGTTCAATTCCCGACATACCCAGCGCCACACGATAGCGCCCGACGCTATCCACTTTTCAGTTGAACTGACAAATCGCAGCTTCCAGTGCAAATCGGACATTTGAATGCACGTATGTGTCGTCTTAATCTAAAAACTGTGTTAACGATAGCATACTCTTGGAGCCAAATGTGTATTGAAAAATGTAAAAATCCTGTGTACTATGATCGTAGTTTTGATGCTGTCATTACGAACCGCGGCAGACGTGAGCTGAAGGTAAGCAGACGACAGACGGCGGTGACTGACCACACGTGTACGGTCTTTCGTGACAGGAATCGATCTGATCAAGGAGAGCTGGGTCTGAAGAAGCCGACGGTTGTAACGAGAGATATTGTAAGATAAATACACAATGAGGTAAAACCTGAGATGATTCATTTTTTTGTCCGACAGACGTGTAGATCAACGGACTTAGGAGAAGTCTATCTTCCCCGGAAGATCTCAGAAGCTTAGTGAAGGAAGACAACTTTGATATCAATGAGAACTTTACCACAACCATAGGATAAAGATACCTTAAGATTTTCTTCAATCTGTTGGAAAATTTAGAATGAGAATGCGTCATTGCAATATGAGAATATGTTCACGAAAAATGTTAATATGTTTTAATAAAAAACATGAAAATATTCCGAAATTGGACATGTGTAGGAAATATTTCTTTTTTGTATCTCGAAGTTAAGGTAAAAGCGACACGCGAATTTTCTTTAGTGAAGCGTACGTGTGGATAGGGGCAGCTTGCTCATCATTCAGGGAACTATATGTAAACTCGTAATTTATTGTCTTGTAACGTATATATTCAGGTAAGAAACCAAGAAATATCCGCGTTGTAGGCTTGGTGCTAAGAAGCCAATTGGAATAACCTGCTATCGGCAGCCTTCCTGTGCAGTTATCCCTGTCGCTCTGCATGTTTCAGTCGGATGATGTCAGTGACACCTCTATATTGATCCGGGAGCACGGGCTGCCCAGTCGTCTAAGGCGCCGCGATTCGCTGTGCAGAGTTGCGTCCCTTGGGCACGCCAGAGACCTATGATTGTGGGTTCGAATCCCGGTTCGCCCCGATTATGTTTCTAGGTTTGTCAGCACCATACCCGTGCTCGTGGGTTTCACCGAAGTGGTAAACGTCTGAGACCTGAATCACTTCGTGCTTTCATCCCACTTTAAGCTGACACGCTGTGACATAACTGGAATACTGTTAAAAGCGGCGTTAAACCCAACTTACTCACTCACTGCATGTAATGAGAACAAACATAAAACTTAAGGAAGATGTATCATTTCAAAACGCGTTAATGTAATACAGAAAGTAGCAAAGAAAAACATCTCAAACACATAAATCTTTGAACCTCAATTCCTTGAACCAAAACCTAGTTTCCTTTAAATGAACATGTGCGTTCAAATTTAAAGACCAGTCTATTTCTATACCCGTAGCCATCCAGGAGAGACACACCTGTCAAACTTGATCTCATCACGACAGAAACCTATCTTTATAATGCATGCATTCTTCTTTAACGAACTCATCCTAAGAAACGGCTCATCCCCTGGACTCGCGAAGCCCACAGAATGTCGCCATCAACGTCAAAAATTGATGTATGGTATAAAAGAAACCTGGATAGTTGAAAACCTTAAAGTCTCAAGAACGCGGTTTTGCGTTTTACAGACGTCATATAGAGTAGTTAGAGGATGTATTCAAATGTTTTTCCCTTGAGTCTGAGAATGTGACTCTTTTGAGTATATGTTCATCCAGAGTTTCCCAAAGCCCTTAGAAAAAAGGGAGATGGTATTTTATAAACTGTGAGTGGTGACTAAGACATTCAGGGTATAAATCCACTTTTTCCTGAAAGAGAAATGGGATTTAATAGTTGTGAAAAAACTTTTGATTAATACGCTAGCGAAATCATTTCTTTGACTTTTATGAGTTAAATTGATATGAAGAAAAGATTTGTGAAGATATAGGTCAAGATAAATAGTATGCACATATTTGCCAAAAGTTTGCGCAGGTAGTCCATTCGTCAAAAGCGCCGAGTTTCACTGTACAGAGTTGCGTCCCCTAGCTACGTCGGGAACTGATGACTAGGCCCCGGTTCTGATCCCAGATTTGCTCTAATTGTGATCGGTAACAAGATAAACTAAATTATAACTAAATCGTTGTACAAAACTGCGTTAACACAACTAATCACACAAAAATAACAGGTTGTAAAGAAGGCCTCACAGACAAACACAAGGCACATGAACATCAACTTCTGTAGTCTTTTACACATCATGTCGAGGGAAATTCTTGCAATGGTCTCCTTACCCATACCGGTAAAATGGTGTAGTTGAATTTCATAAATCACCCTATCAACGTCAAAACAAAGAAACACTGATGTAAAGCTTAGTTAAGTCCATCGAAGACACGCTCTATGTGATGTTGATAGTTTCCCCATTATTAGATCGGAATAAGACAGTACATTAGGTGCATTAGATTAGATTAGTTGTCTCGAAAAGTGTTCGAATTATCCGAAGTTCGACACATCCGATTTGAACATATTACCATATGAGGTAAAGAAGCACCTGGTCCATACCCCCTGCCTACTCCATTCCTCTTTGACGTTTCATGCTGTGTCGTGTTGTTGCTAAGTTATGTTTTTCAACTAAATTGAGTTTGATTATTTAAAAACGTATTTTAACTCTTGAATCTACGATCGGGAAAACGGAATCCAACTCTGCAATATTCCAGCTGTATGACGACGGTCGGTAAATAAATCAGTCAAGTCATCGTTCTGACCACCCGATAGCTAAGTGGACTCTAACGACCAGCATAGGTGACTGGGGACGAAATCTAACCAGTGGGGACTTGTTCAGAATTACAAAACAAGAAACAAACACATCAAGCTCCAGGCATCTTAAAATATAAATATGATGATATACTGTACATCTGTAATAATCCAATGAATACACATATCATCATCACTGTCATCATCATCATCATCATCATCATCATTACATATCATCATTACACATACGTTGCTTATTGGTTTTTGATATTGACGCCAAGAATTAAAGAATGAGTATGGTTTTACGCCGCTTTTAGCAATATTCCAGCAATATCACGGCGGGGGACACCGGAAATGGGCTACACACATTGTACCCATGTCGGGAATCGAACCCGGGTCTTCGGCGTGACGAGCGATCACTTTAACCACTAGGCTACCCGACCGCCCCTGGACGCCAAGAGCCTGGGGGACCTATCTCTAGCATCTGCCAATCAACGAAACCTTAAGGAGTAGAGGCCGTAACCGCTGAATGGTCGTATTCTTGTCTTTAAGCCTCTTTGGTCAAGACGGAAATCGACGGCACATGAGGAGGCATTAGCGTTGTCACTACCACGGCTTCTTGCTCGTCAAGAAGGATGAGACCATCCACACACTGGTTCTCATGACTATTGTAACCGCTGAGGAAGTTGACGGTGTAATTAATTAGGGACATGGGTCCAAATTACCTGTCATTGTCAGCATTCAGTTGGAACATCCAGACACATTGTTCGTAATGAGTGAATACATTAGAGTTTCACCAAATCATCCAGGCATCAGTGTTGGAAGTGTATATAGTTCAATGATGAGGGACCCTTCCATATCAAGCAATGTCTCTTTCACATTAATGGTCGTTGGGGTAGCTGATATGTCAGTTTTAATGTTATTACGCTATTTTGTGAGGATCCGGGGTAATATTGGTCTTGGACAACCAAGTCTTGCCGTAGAAGGTGACTATGCTTGTCGTAAGGCTTGCTGACTTGGTTCATGCATGTCATCGTATCCCAATTGCTCATGATGTCAATCACCGGATTGTCTCGTCCAGACTCGATTACTTACAGACCGCCGTCATGTAGCTTGAATATTGCTGGATGCGGCGTTAACCAACAAACAAACAAAAGCCATGTATTTGTGCTACGCTTGTCTTTACCAAGCTGTCAGCGCCATGCCCGCGCTCGTGGGTTTCACCGAAGGAGGTGAACTTCTAAGACCTGCATCACTTTGGACGTTCCCCCTACAAGTTGAGACAGTCATATATCTTAAATACTGTTTGTAAAGGGGTGCTAAATATTATTCCCTCACTCCATCATCATCCTGTCCTTCATCATGGTATGTAGACATATATCACTGATATTTAATTAATATCAATGATCCTAGCATCAGGTGTGTACACCAATAATGACCATGATCGGGACCCTTGAACACGGAACCACTCTATCAATGGCACAATCACATAACTAATGTGTGCTTGGCGCTATGACAGCACACCACGTATACTTCTACATGGTTTAATTGTTAAATATATAATTTGATTTAAACTTTAAAATATTAAAACAAAATCGCATGATTCACAATTGCTGATGGGTATCTTAGACATCTTATATTTAAAAATCAATAAATTTGCTTTTTTCGACACAAATTTACATTTAAAAAATGGTAGGGGTCATGTGGTGGCAAATTTATGTCTTACCCCAGTCTTCATTGAACCAATTTAT